AACTAAAATAAAAGACAATACAAAAAAAGGGTGGTGAGGTTCTGGGGAGCCGAAGCTCCCCGGATCCCGGATAAGAAGAGAGTAGCTTCTCGTGTGGGTTGAACTAGCTGTGGATTCCCGGGGAATGGGAGAAGGGCTTTTATAATCCAGGGGTCACAGATTACTAAGACAGCAAAACTTGAACAGTAGAGTGTCCAAAGTTTGAACCAGGAACCGAGGTATTGCATCATAGTGATGTAATTGTTCTTTACGCAGTTTTTAACAAAAAACCATAAATCATTATTTAATGTATTATGTGAAAAGCTATACCTGAGCTCCTCGGGGGAGGCGGGAGAATGGGGGAAGGAGTAGAGGAGAGGGAGCAGGTGAAAAACCCCTCGCCTCCTCCTAGACCCGTCAATACAGGAGCCTGAACATTGGCAACGTCTGTCTTGGGCTAGGTTCATTGAAGCGAGCGCAGTGTGTCCTCACTGAGATTCCTTGATGTGTGTGTACGGTGAGGCAAAGCTCTGCCCGTCCTATATAAAAATGTGTTATTCGTGAAGTTAGGGTAGTGTTTGGGGTGGGAGGGAGTGTTGGCCGGTACGGGCGGGTAAGGTCGTGTCCGATTTTCGATCTGGGATTATTTTTAAGGTTTATCGTTTGCCTGGTACTGAAGCTTCTTTTTTGAATCAAGATTATATTTAAATCTGCTAGGCTGAACATATAGATTGGTGGTACTCTTTGGCGCGATACCACATTTTCAGTGTTTGATGTGCGTCACTAGCAAAAATGCACGATTTGCGTTTTCCCTCATTCTGTGGGTTTCCTTCTAATGTGGTTATTAACCTCACAAAAGGGAACTCCGGCTTAAACAGTGACACTATCATGTCGTTGTTTAGGTCTGGTTTTCTTTTCTGTGCTGACTGTTCTCACATAACAGCCTATCTTTCACCGAAACACACATCATTTGGTCTAAAAACGGACAACGCTGTCTACTAAGAAAGGCAGAGAAATTTGATGTGGTTCATCCGAAACTAGCCTTCGTAGGCCTAGCACTTGTAATTTCTGGAAGAATATAAATTATTTCTAGTTGTAACATTTTAGAAAATCATTTCTTCATATTTACTGGCTTCCTTATTTTCCATTGTACTATCGCGAACCACTGCGAAGTTTTCTTTTTCAGGTGAAGGAAATGATAAAATTGTTGCTGAGCGAGTAATAATTTCTGTAAGGAAATGTCCGAATTGTGGTATATGCTACCAGCGTTCCGAAGGTTGCAAACACATGGTGTGCCCGTTTTGCGGTATTATTTTCTGTGATCTATGTGGAAAAACGTTCGACGCCTGGAATTTGAATCACGGTTGTCCGAAGAGAGATGAGGTGAGAAATTAATAATACCGGGACAGCTACGATGACATACTTTTTTCGCTCGTAGGGGTTTCAGCTTGCTGACCAATTTTATACTTTTCTCCATAAATTAAAAAACTCAAATACCGAAATCGTGTTTGTGTGTGTACGCTTATGTCCTGTGGTTTAACTCCAAAATTGAAAAGTTGAGAAACTGAACCTCTGAAGAACCAAATAACGCAGGCTGGAACGCACCAGGCGAGCCGGTGCGATCATGAGTTTTTGCATCAAACTTTGAGGTATCCATCAAATTTCCCTGAATTTTTGAAATGCAAATTTCCAGTTCACTAAAAAGTAAAAGTATTGCCCGAGCGGTCGTTTCCAAAAAAAATGAAATGCAAATTTCCAGTTCACTAAAAAGTAAAAGTATTGCCCGAGCGGTCGTTTCCAAAAAAACAGCAAATGCAAATTTCCAGTTCACTAAAAAGTAAAAGTATTGCCCGAGCGGTCGTTTCCAAAAAAACCGTAATGCAAATTTCCAGTTCACTAAAAAGTAGA